AGATTTTACTTCAGTGGTTCTATATTGATATAACTTAGATTTTACTTCAGTAGTTTTATATTGATATGACTGTTAGATTTTACTACAGTAGTTCTATATTGATATGACTGTTAGATTTTACTTATTGATATAACTGTTAGATTTTACTTCAGTAGTTCTATATTAATATGACTATTAGATTTTACTTCAGTGAATTAATATTGATATGACTGTTAGATTTTACTTCAGTAGTCCTATATTGATATGACTATTAGATTTTACTTCAGTGAATTAATATTGATATGACTGTTAGATTTTACTTCAGTGTTTCTATATCGATGTAACTGTAAGATTTTACTTCAGTGTTTCTATATCGACTTGACTGTTAGATTTTACTTCAGTGGTTCTATATTGATATGACTGTTAGGATTTACTTCAGTGGTTCTATATTGATATAACTGTTATATTTTACTTCAGTAGTTCTATATTGATATGACTACTAGATTTTACTTCAGTGAATTAATATTGATATGACTTTTAGATTTTACTTCAGTAGTTCTATATTGATTTGACTGTTGGATTTTACTTCAGTAGTTCTATATTGATATGAGTGTTATATTTTACTTCAGTGTTTCTATATTGATATAACTGTTATATTTTACTTCAGTGGTTCTATATTGATATAACTTAGATTTTACTTCAGTAGTTTTATATTGATATGACTGTTAGATTTTACTTCAGTGTTTCTATATCGATTTGACTGTTAGATTTACTGCAGTGGTTTTTTTTATTGATATGACTGTTAGATTTTACTTCAGTAGTTTTATAATGATATGACTGTTAGATTTTACTACAGTAGTTCTATATTGATATACCTGTTAGACTTTACTTCAGTGGTGTTTTATTGATATGACTATTAGATTTTACTTCAGTAGTTCTATAGTAATATGACTGTTAGATTTTACTTCAGTAGTTTTATAATGATATGACTGTTAGATTTTACTACAGTAGTTCTATATTGATATACCTGTTAGACTTTACTTCAGTGGTGTTTTATTGATATGACTATTAGATTTTACTTCAGTAGTTCTATATTTCTATAGTAATATGACTGTTAGATTTTACTTCAGTAGTTCTATATTGATATAACTGTTAGATTTTACTTCTTTGTTTTTTTTATTGATATGACTGTTAGATTTTACTTCAGCGGTGTTTTATTGATATGACTGTTAGATTTTACTTCAGTGGTGTTTTATTGATATGACTGTTAGATTTTACTTCAGTAGTTCTATATTGATATAACTTATATTTTACTTCAGTGGTTCTATATTGATATAACTGTTATATTTTACTTCAGTGGTTCTATATTGATATGACTGTTATATTTTACTTCAGTAGTTCTATATTGATATAACTGTTATATTTTACTTCAGTAGTTCTATATTGATATAACTGTTATATTTTACTTCAGT